ACATATATATATATATATATATATATATATATATATATATATAACCATTTTTTGTTTACAGATAGGCAAGATGAGGAATAAAAAGATTATTTCACAACCTAAGAAGATTAGTCATCCTGTTAGATTTATGATAATTGGAATTATCTTATATTAGCATAGATTCCATGCCTAGATTCTGAAGTGCTATGATGATAATGATGATTATGTCATCACTATTTCCACTACTGTATAGGGACTCACAGCCTATTCTTGGGAGACTTCACTCCTTAGTCTCCTTTAGCTGAAGTTAAGATGAATCTCAGAGGCACTGGTTTTGGGAAACACAGTTTCAAGCCAGTGTGTGCTGCTCAGGCACTCAGTCACTGCAGCTAGCACCTGTGGCACTGATTCAAGTGCTGGACACTACCTCACCCAGGAGGACCTCCCTGGTGGTCAATAAGCCAAGCAGTGGAAAGTGCGGGGGGGGGGGGGGGGGGGGGAGAGGGGGAATGTATGTCTACTTGGGTCTGTGCCTTCTTTGGGCCCTTGGTCACAGTCAAAAGGGTTGCCAGCCATCCATTAACAGAATCATGTCCAGATCTTGAAGTTACTAGATATGTTTTCCACCCATGAGTACCCATATCTATGCAATCAGTATTATTATAGCACCTACCTTCTACACTCAATATTTGTTAGTCATTGTTTCTGGAAATTCTCAAGCCTTCATAGGGATATTAGGGACTAGAGTCAAACCACAACTTAGAAATGATAAATAGTGATAACTAAGAACAAGTTATAACATGATTACAGAACAAATCTGAAACATGGTATTTCACAAGTACACCGCAATGCCACTGAACTGTAACATGAGCCTCTTCATCAATTAGGAAGCAGAATGAAAGGGAAGAAGGACAGGATAGTAAGGGAGGGCCTAGCAGATACATAAAGTTGTCAAGTGTGCCAAGTGTCAAGTTCCATCTGGGGACACTTGCCTTAGCACTTTTAAAGCTTTGAATCCTGAGACCCTATTAATCTAGACATCCTGGGAATCTTCTTTTCTCCCTACCTCTTCCTGCTCTTCCTGCTCTTCCTCTTCCTTCTCCTCTTCCTCCTTTTCCTCTTCTAACTTCTTTTTCTTCCATTCTTTTTAAATAAATGTTCCCTAGATAATTGCTGGGTGCTTGGAAGCCTGGTCACCATCCACCTAAGGACTGACAGAAAGCATCCCACCAGGATCCAAGTGGACTTTTAGCCAGACAACAGCCAAGCTGAGCACTGAGATTTCAGAAAATGACCTCAATGCCGGGCCTTTCAGGTATCAAATAACTGTAGAAATAATAATAAACAAGCTTTATGGAACACTAACATTGAGTCAAGAATATTTATCTTCTGGAGATCCAAATTGACTCCAAAACTGTAGATACCCAGTAAAAAGATGCACAGGGCTTAGTAGCTGCAAGGTAATGACAGTGAAACCTACCCCATCTCAAAACTCCCTCCTTTAATAACAATTGTTAAAAGTGTTGAGAATGTCTTCTGTGAAACTAGAAGCCAAGCAAAACCCTGATGTAACACACATGCAGAAAAGCAATGAGAAGAGACTAGGATCTTAGGAGACTGGAAATGATGATAGGGTATGATTGACAGTTACATATAACTTACTGAGTTTTCCTGAATCCATCCCCAGTCCTGCCTGTTCAGGAGATTTTACCTTACCATTTTTTCCTTTTTCAGGAAACTATTGGAGGATGTACTGACCAAAATAGGAGATAAACTAGGGAAGAGGAAGACAGGCTTTTAGGAAACAGGAGCCCACACAGGAAGGCGGTGATGGGAAATCCCAGGATGATGACGCAGGGAAGTCCCCAAACAACAGCTGTGCAACAAGCATGAAGAAGCAGCCCACAGTGGAACCATACAGAGGATTCCAGAAAAAAACAATATTGGAACTCAACAGTTCCCAATGCATTTGAAGTTGTGAAAGGTTTAGTGGTGATTATATATAGCCACTGGAAGGCATGGTATAGATTTTTTTTTTGTAAACTTGATCAAATAAAACATTAGTTAATGATTTAACTCCAGGAAAAACAAAAAAGGTTATGAAAAACAGGCAATGTAAACAGCATATATCACTTGCCTTTGAAATGAGTTGTCATCATGAAAACACTAAATATGGATTCAACCAAAAGTAGGATAAATATATTGAAATAATATGAGAGTTAAAGTTCTCATCCACCATAATAAACATTAGATTATACCAAAACTATAAGCCAAGAGATGAAAGTATTGGAAAATGCTTCAGAACTATATAGTAAATACACAAAGACACATGCTCAAGACCTGAAAGTAAGTGCCTCTAAAGAATAGAATGGTGAGGAGTGTGTGTGCCATACACACACACACACACACACACACACACACACACACACACACTTGGAACTTGTGAGTTTTATTTTTCCAGAATCTAAACTTTAATGCTTTATCATAAACTTTCTTGAAGCAGAGTGCCATGATGCTAAGTGTGTTGATTCTAAGTATAACTAAACCAGAGTGCAAACTCGAATGGCACAGTGAAGCAGCTCTCTGAGCTTGGAGGAGTTGCTTCTGCTGTGCACAATGTCAGCTCAGGAGAGTGATGCAACAGGGCTCAGTTCATGGGTGTGCATAGTTAAATAGTCAAGTCCTTATAAATTCTTAATTATAAGCCTGGCACATAGGAAACACCAGGTAAGTCTTAGGCATTATTATTTCACTTTTATAATTAAGCTTGTATATTATTTTGATAAGAAAAAATAATTTAAAAGAAAGCAAGTAGAACAAATAGAAATTCATGACAAGGGCTTGTTAGAGAGAGGTTTCCTAGCTGTGCCAAATCTGATGCCACATCCTGGCTTCAGTGAAGGGCACCAAGTGGGTTGTGATGCTTGTGAGCCAAGAGTAAATAAAAAATGCTAATTGTGTGTGCCTTTAAGAGAGGGCACTGAAGCTTCCAATTGTGTCCTTATTTAAAACCAGATTTGTTGCGCCAGTATTTTTTTTTAAAGCATTCTTCCCAGTGGATCTCTGACATAGAACAAATCCACCTTCTAGCCCTGTGTCTGTGGAGGAGGAAGGGCAGTGGGATTTTTCTCCTGATAACTCAGGCCTTGATGTGGGCCTCTTCCTGTCTTTGGGTGAGGATAAGGATGGTATGGTTTCCTGTAGCCCTCTCCCTGTCTTAGCTAGATGAGGAAAATGACCAGTGCAGACTGAAGATGGGCCTGGAGCGACTCGGGTTGTTCACCTTATGGCTGCCAAATCAAAACAGATAATTGGTACCATTTCTAGCTCATGCTAGGTGCAATTGGCTAAAAATCAGCCTGGCTGATACAGCTAGAAGCTGATTTTGTTTCTCCTGGAGAGCATTACCTGCAGGGCTTCTATTAGGAGTAGTTAACATCTGCTGACTCACCCTGCTTGAAAACTTTCCAGGCCTGCACCCTATCGTGGTCCTGGAGTCCACTGAACCCCAGCTATCTGGAGTCCAGGTTCCTTTACTACATTTTGGGAAAGTTCACTGATGTCCCTGAAATGCCATCTTCAGGAAACTGCACTGTGACCTGAACACTGGAGTGTAGCTCTACTGTCTCCTTCATCCTGCCTAGACTTGGAGTCTTCAGGTCTTTCTCCCTTTATAACCCAGATGTTCACCTAGCCTGGCTCACCATTTTTTGTGTACTTTTCTCTGACTTAAGTGGATATAGTCTAAATGTTTATATCGATCCAAAATGCAAATTGGAATTGAATCTCCACTGTGTCAGTATAACCAGGTGGGATCTATAAGGAAGCAATTAGGTCCTAAGGTCCCACACTTGTGAATGGGGTGGAACATATGGAAGCTCACTTTCCAGTCCTAGCTAGTGAGGGCTGATAGCAGGCACTGTGTAGGAGGGAGAGATGATTTCTCAAACACCAGACCTTCTGGTACTTTGATCTTGGCCTTGTAGCTTCCAGAATTGTGAGTAAAACTTTTATGTTTTCTGTATTACTCATTCTGTGGTATTTTGTTACAGCCTTCCAAATGGACTCACACAAGCAAGTGGGTGATTCCATAGCTCTTCTGTAAGTGAGGGAGTCAGGAATTTTTAAACTTAACCAATGTTTGGAAAGGTTAGAGGAATATTTGGATTTGGACAGGAGAACCAACTGGCAAGCTTGGTGATTAAACAGCCTTTTACATCATGAAGTGTGCAGCGAGCATGGCATCCAGGACAACTGAAGTCCTTGGAAGGACCACTAAGGCTTGATTTCTCACTCAGTGACCTCAGTAAGTCACTGTGTTTGGTCCTTTGGTTTCCTTGTTTTTACATGATAATAATGCTGTTACAGAAGTGTGAGGTGAGGTTGGAGATTGCTTCAGAGAACATCCTAAGAACTGAGGACTTACAACTTTGATGTTGTTTGGGGAAGGGTGAGAAAGAGGTGATGTGCTCTGAGGTCATTAAGGACAGGAGTCATTCAGTAGTTCAGCCTAGAATCTAGAACCCAAGGTAGAAGGAAGGTGAGAAGGAATATTGTCAGTCAAACCTTGTCTGCCACAAAGCCAGAGACAGGAGCAGGGCTGTGAACATCATTGAATGTCAAAGGCAACACCCTGCTTACTCACTTTGTGGGCACAGGAAGCAGCCTGCTGCTCACTACTGTATGAACTTCCTGTTTCTGCTGCAACAAATGAAAACAACACAAATCTGTCATCTGGTGCTATGGCTGAAATCGGTTGTTGGTAGAGCTGCCCTCACTCCCTCAGGAGGCTGTGGGGGGAATTTGCTTTGCTTTTTCCATCTCCTAGGAACTTTGCATCCTTGATTTGTGAAACTCTCTGTATGACTCCAGCTTCTGCTTTTGTGACTATGATCCTCCTTTCTACAGGGACTCACTCTTGTCATTGCCTGCTCAGCCTTCCCAAATAAGCACATACACCATGATGTGGAGGCTTTCTCAAGTATACAGCTCCCAAGTCTATGAACAAAACTGAATTGCTATCATCAAAACTCTACAGTTTGCAGGGCTTGGGTTTTGTTGAAACCCAAGATACCAGTAACCCCACCTTACTTTTGATTTGTTTGTTCATTCCTTAAAATGTTCTTGACACCTCCTACAAGTGAAAATTTTCCTTTAATCCTCAAATAATCTCTCTATTTCTTAGCCCTTTTCAACTTTGACATAGTTTGTCTGCCTTCCCTAAATGCCTCAAGTTCTCCCTTGCCTTTATAACACTGGGTCGGCAAATTCATTGATATTCATGATCATTAAGAAAAGGCACAAAATAGATATATTCCTAGGTGGGTGTAAATTCTCACAGAAAGATATCAGCAACAGCAATGCACAAACAAAAATGTGGTTTGAAATTGAAAGGGCAGGTAGCAATTTTTCAAACCACCTGGGAATGCCTTTTGTAAAAATACTAAGAAACGAACCTAGTTCTAAAAATCTCTCCAAAGAGATCTCCATGGACTGGTGCCTCTTAGAGTGATCTCAAGCATAGAGCATAATGAGCAAGGGGTGGGAGTTTGACAGTTAGACCAATCTCAGCCCAGCTGGACTTCCTGCATCAAACCATGATTGTTAGCAAGATCTCGGGTGCCTCACATGCATGTTACAGTTTGGCAAGCATGAACCCTGCAGGGGGAACAGTATTAGAATCTCCTGACCAACTCATGTCACAGACTACCAGGTCTCATCTCAGAGTTTCTGATTTGGAAGTCTTCAGGAGATTCCAGGGCTTTTGTTTAGAATGTTTTGAGAGTCACGGGTGAAGAGCTGTCAGAAACAGGGGAAGACTTGGAGGAAGGCTCAGTGTCTCTCAGGACAAGTCATGCTCCCATCTTGGTTTCTCCACCAAAGTGAGCTGAATAGTCATCTGGGTCACCTACACAGAGCAATCTAAGAACCCTAAGATAATTACTTCCAGCCAAACAACTAGATTGTCTTTGGGGTGTCCTCAACACCATCAGTACAACACCCTCTACAGTCTGTCAGGTCCCTTGTTCTGTGGAAAGCTTTCTTGGCAATAAAAGGCAAAGCTTCTCTTGAAAGTAGGGATGAATCCAGGCATGTGGAGTTGCCACAGCTTCTGGGAAGCTTTCTTTCTCTTTCGCCCTTCTTCCTTTCTCCTCCCTGACAGAGTCCCAGATAAGTCATAATGGCATCCACTTAACTAACCTGTTATCTCCTCGCAAGTTATTCTAATAATCCATGGATCCACAATAGCTCCATGGGACAACTGTTACGATAAATCTTTCTGCCAAAAGCCACCGAGCCCCACCGCCACGTGTACGCTTTATGCCAGCCGCCTGCCCAAGTTAGGCCCAAATGAATACACAGAAACTTGTATTAGGTTCAATGCTGCTTGGCCAATGACTAGGATTCCTCATCTGTTAGCTCAGTCTCAATTATCATACATCTATATATTTTATAAGACTTATCTTATCGGACGCCTTATTGGCATCCCTCCTTGCCAGTGGATCACATTATGCCGCTGGAGGAGGAAGAGGAAAAAAGAGGGCCCTTCCTGTTTCTCCTTCGCTTAAATATGAGTCTCCTTGCTATGTCACTTCCTGCCTGGATCATTACTTCTCTACTCCATTTCCCAGAATCCTCTTTGACTCCTAGTCCTGTCTAACTTCCTGTCTCATTGGCCAAACAGTATTTTATTTAACAATCAATAAGATAAACATACACAGTACATTCCCCATCAGACAACACCAGAGAAGGTTTTATTAACTTCATTTTGTAGATGGCTAGCTTACCTGCCCCCAGATTATTTGGCAGGAAGACCTACCTGGTCAATGACCCACAGGTGTGTGTGTCCATTCAGGCTTGCTGGCTTCAGCTGTTCTCCAGAGAGGAAGTGTTACTGGGATAAGTGAAAAGGTGCCAGCTATGTTGTGACTCGCAGTGGACAAGAAAGGATAGGAAGAGTCTGATTCTTCCCTTCAAAGCCCTTGCTTTGCTTTCTTTCTCCTCCCCTAACTTCTTTCCCAGCTCTTGTTGTTGATTTGTTTTTAAAATAAAAGTTCTCTCGATAATCATTGGGT